CCCTCCCCTCCCGCCCCTTCCCCCGGGGACGCTCTCCCACCACCCCCGGTGGCGGCCGGCTCGCCCGCTACCCCGTGCCCATCGTGCCGCTGTCGACGCGCACTCAGCCCCGGAGCCCCCTCTACTGCCCAGAGGCCGCCGCCGCCGCCCGCCCAGCCGCCAGCCCGCCTGCCCGGCCAGCCCCAAGCTCCCGGGAACGTCAGCACGCCGCCGTCTCCGGACAAGCTCCGCGCCAGCCCCATTGGTCCGAAGGACAGGGCTGTCCCTCCCCATTGGCCCGGCCCTTATATTGAACGGACCAATGGAAGCTGCGGTTTCAGGTCACCATGGAGACCGATGCTGTTAAGAGCTAGAGGGCCTGGGGAAGGAGGGGAGTGAAGATGAAGGTGTCTCTGGCCTCAGGCGCGGGAGGGGATGAGGAGGAGGAGTATTCGGGGATTCCCGAGCGCAGCCTGTGAAATCTTGAGCGGGGCTTGCTTTTGGTTCTTGCCAACCCACCTGTGCATGGCAGGGCTTGTCCCTAGCGTCAAGGGCAGGAACAGCTGCGCCCCTAGACTTAACAGTGAGAGCCCAGGAGTGGGCGTTTCACTTTTCCTGCATCTGGGGAGCCTACGGGGCTATGCCCTTTGACCTTTGACATCAGTGGTGCGTCTGCTTTTCTCAGGTGAGTTTCCACCCCTTTCCTTAAATCCTTGCTTCCTCCTGACGTCACTGGGCTACTTGAATTCTACTTCCAGCCACTCCCCCTTCCTTGAGGCGGATATTTCCTCAGATTTTTGCTTCTTCACAAGCCTATGGCCCCTCCCTAAGGAAACGGAGGACTCCTGAGCACTGTGTTTTGTTGAGGAAACTGGTTGGGATTGTGCCAAAGGATCCACCCATAACATAGTGAGTTTTCTGCTTCCCAAAGAAGCAGACCTCTCCTCTTCCTTCACCCTTTCACAGGTAAGTATTAAACACTTCGAGGGTGCATTGTGCACTGATCTTGGCAGGTAGGCTCCAAGCTGGAGAAAGCTGTAGGTGCAAGAGGCAGTCCTTCAGGTCAGCTGATGATTTCACAAGAGAAAAAAATGAAATAGATTATAGATGATGGATTTATGCAAAAAATCCATATTTTCCAGATTATTTCTAAATCTAATAAAGAAATGGTGAGTTAGAATATGGAATCAGTACTCAAAAAAAAATCTTGGCCTTTAATAATGAGTGCTCTACTTTCACTTAAAGTCATTTTGTGCTAGTTTGCTTGCACTGATTATTATTGATGAATGATGCTCATAATTAGATAGCGCCTATTAATCTGGCACCTTAGACATGGTGTTGCCTTTCATCATATTTTAAACTTTATCACTCTAACATATAACCACTTGTGCTAGATCCCTTTAGCTGTCAACTTGCCATCTGGGAAGAAGAAACCTCGTCGAGGAATTTCCTCTTTTGGATTGGCCTGTACCCATGTTTGCGAGGCATTTTCTTTTTCTTGATTATTGAGTGATGTGGGATGGCTCAGCCTACCGTGTAGTGCCACAGCTGGGCAGGTGATTCTGGGTTGTATAGGAAAGCTAGCTGGGCATGGGTCAGAAGAAGCAAGCCAGTAAGCAGTGTTCCACCACCATCTGTGCTTCACTTTCTGCCTCCTGATTCCTGCCCTGCTTAAGTACCTGCCTTGACTTCCCTCAGTGATGGACTGTCACTTGGAAGAATAAGATGAAATAAACCCTTTCTTCCTCAAGTTGGTTTTGGTCGGTGTTTTTAATCACAGAATAGAAAATAACCAGGACACCACTGCTAGTCTTATAGTCCTTTTTTTGGTGATTTTGGCTATTTTCTTAGTAACTTCTTTAGTTAAAAAAATATATAATGCTTATGCTACTTCCCCTCAAATTAGAGGGACAGTATTAGTTTCTCTTGCTATAATTTTGAAAAAGCTGATAGGAATTTTATAGTTACATTGAGGCTGGGAGTAGTGGCACATGCCTTTAATCCCAGCACTCAGGAGGCAGAGGCAGGTGATATCTGTGAGTTCTAGGCCAGCCTGATCTACATACCAAGTTCCAGGCCAGCTGGGGCTACAGGGAGACCCTGTCTCAAAAAGACCAAAACACACATACCCCCCCCACACAAATGCTTTGTTGAGGGATGTAAATTATTGTGAGAGATATATATATATACATACATATATATATATATAAAACTTTCATTCTGAATTTTAAGTTGGATGACATGTTTTGCTGTTATTTTTAACCTTACTGTAACCAAGTGTTATAAACTATCACCTAAGAAATGTTAATATGGTGTCTTGCTTGGAAAAAGTGTCCCCCTACAACTTGTAGTAAAATTTGAATTTAGTTGACAGTCCTGTGCAGGATTTAATTATAAAACAAAATGGATAAACATGTGACTGTACCTCTTAAATATTTTAAAATTAAGGAGGAATCAGTAAGGGGGCTAGCATGGCTGGCTATTTGGCGAATTAACTGCTTTTGAGGTTTTCTGATTTTTCTTTTATTTTTTGGTCTGTTTAATGTGTTTGTTCATAGGAGAACAGAAAAAGGTAAAAATGCAAATTTTGATCAATAAGACATTTTAAATATATAGTCAAGATACCAATAACTTATTTTTTTAATTTCAGTGATATTGAATGAGAAAATGGGTATTTCAGGGTTTTTTTTTTTCCTTTGTAAAAAGAAGAAAAAAAGAGTCTATTCTATTTCTATCTACTCTAATAATCAATTATTTTGTATTTTTTCTCAAAACATATGTCTGACAAGCATTTTTATGTTGTTTTTCATGTTTGTAATGTTACATGTAATTTCCATCATCAGTAATTAAAATGTTATTAAAACCCAACATTAGTAATGATGTCCCCTAAATTTGTTGTCATTCAATATTCAACATTTCTTTCTTGTTATATTTAGTGGAAGGATTTCTTTTGAATTTTTATACTGTTGAACATTGCTGGTTAAAGCTAAGAAAATACTTTATTCCACTAAAAGTTGCTGCTATCCAGAACCTGCCTGGCTCCCAAATTCCTTCACCATCAGGATAATGATAATCTAGAACTTTTCCACATCTATCTGGTTTCTATTCTCCTCAAGCCCCATTGTGCTGAGGCTCCCTCCAATTCCAAAAGAATTGCCTCAAGTTCAACTCTGGGGATTCCACATGAGGTTCTTCAACTTACGTTTCTTAAACCTTGTCTCAATTTTCATACCTCTATACCTCCATCAGCCCCTACTGATCATTGTCCTGACCTTCTTTTTTTTTTTTTAATGATATATATATATTTTTTAATTGATTTTTCTTGTGTACCTCATACAGAACATCCCAAACAATCCTTATACCTGCATCCGAAATGGCACCCTCCCATAGCCGCCCCCCAATGGAGCCCATTTACCTTGTTACTGCCCACTGTGTTGTGCCCCTAGCTGTTCCCCAGTGCAAGTCCATCCGCTGAGTCTAGTCGGCCTATCCAGAGTCCCTTGTTTTAGGAAGATCAACTCTTCTTCATCTAGCAGCAATCAGTTGCCAACATTCCTTTAGATAAGTTTGGGGTCTGCTGTTCATTTTCCCAGTTCTATGCTGAGTTACTGTCTGCCTGAGTTTACATGGGACTTGCGTATACTAACACCTTTGCCATAGAATCATATGAGCAGGTTCCCAGGAGCTTGCAGGACTCTGTTTCCATATGGTCATGCCCATCTTCCTTGGTTCTTACAATCTCTCTGCTCCCTCTTCCTCAATGGTCCCTGAGCCTGGGGTGGATGAAATTTAATAAAGGGGTCCTGTCCAAAGACCATTATTTAGCAGACTCTTGATTGCCACACTTTGACCATTTGTGACCTTTTGTGTTTCTGGCCCTCCATTGCATGAGGAGCTTCATTATTGAGAACTGATTCCTTAGTGTCCTCTTCTTTATCCCTGTTCTGTGTTCCATGAGCTCTAGGTGTAGAGGTTGCACTGCAGATGTGTCCCTTAGGCCTGGGCAATTCATAGACAATGTCCGTGTGTGACCAGTTGTGGTACTTGGTATTAGTAGTCTCTGCTGCAAAATGAGTTTCTTTGATGAATGGTGACTGGATATTTGTCACCACGTGGAGGCAGGATCTGGGGGCTCTCAGGCCCTGCATTCTCAGGTCCCTGCATTCTCAGGCCCTCTGCCAGAGGGAGGCCAGAGGGAGGCCAGAACTTGGCACTCTCTGGCAGTCTGCCGAGATCAGAGCCACTATACCGATGTAGGTTGGAACCCACTCTCTCAGGCTCTGTCCTGACCTCCTTTACTAATACTCCAGTTGTGCTAGTAAACACACAATACTCTCCCCAGCAGGGTTTTTCTCTACTGATTATAATTCCTCAGGTTACCTTTTATATTCTCTCCTCCAAAGCTTTTCCCTCAGCCTCCCTGATATCTGGCCTTTCATAAAACCATTTTCCATTTATTCCCCCTTCATCTCCATCTACTTGCCTTTCCTTTCACCAATCAGGGGTACAAGGGGGAGGCATCTACTCCCCACCGCCCATGCTTTGGCCTTTCAAAACATTGAAATTATTTTCAAGATTTTATTCTCTTTCCTCAAAATCCCAGCTCATTTTGCCAATTAAATTCTCTCATATAGCAATGTCCTTTGGGCCAAGCATGGTGTTAAAAGCCTGTAATCCCAGCACTTGGGAGGCAGTGGCAGTAGGGTAGAAGTTCACTGTCATCCTTGTCTGGGTAATGAGTTTCAGGGCCGCCTTGAGGAAAAAAGCAAAACAAAAAACCTTCACCTAAAGTGGCGATGCCCCCTGTGATGGGTAATTTCAATTGTCAACTTGGCGGGATTTAGAATCACTTGGGAAAGGAGTCTCAGTGACCGACTGTCCAGAT